TCAACTCCCAAAATCCCCCAGCCAGCATGGCTGGCTGGGGAATTCTGGGAGTTGAAGTCCACCCCTCTTAAAGTTGCCAAGTTTGAAAATCACTGCCCTAACCTTTCCAGTAATCATTCCAGTCCACTGGGTGACCCTGGCAGGATCAACTGGATCCTCTTCCAAAGACCCGGTGGGCTTCGATTCTCTGGCCCCGCTCCAGTAACCTCCGAGGGGATTTTGCTCCCCCCCCCCGCTCACCTGGTCCCGGACCGTCTTCTCGGGATCCACTGTCAAGGTGCACAGCACGGGCAGGATTTTGGAGGCGCACTCCTTCATGGAGTAGAAGTTGTGCGTGGCAGCGAACCCCAGCACCCCGGCAGCGCGGGAGGGCGCAAACGGGTCTTTCGTGGCCCGGCTGAAGGCGGATATTAAGACGTTCTGTCTCGTCTGTAAAGAGAACATCCAGCAAACAACTTGAGTGCGCCTGCAATAAAATACTGGGGGTTTAATTGCATTCTGGTTCGTTTTGCCCCCACTGCCCCCCAAGTGAACTGATCAAGTGTTGACTTATTGCATTCCATGTTTCAGAGGGTCCTGGTTCAAGGGCTAACCATGGTCCAAAGAATCACGGCAAACAAGATACATCGCGCCAAGCCGGGGGTTGGACTCAGTGTCCTCTGAGGTTCCTTCCAATTGTATGATTCTGACATTCATTCAGGTTTAGTTCACTGTGCATTCACACGTTAATGCTAAGCTACAAATAAACTGCACTACGGGCCCGCTCTATTCTGAAGACCGGCCAATGCCCGAACCAGCACAGACATGGCCTGTTCGTACATGCAACCCGCCATTTCTAGAGAATGTGGCTGCATAACGTGCAAAGATTTATCCTTGCTTACTAGCATTAAAAGCTAGCCCCAAACCCCAGGCCACTTGATTAACATCCCGAGAAACGGATTCACTGGTGAACAAGAATGAAGCATGCGGTGCGAATCCTGCTGGCTGATACGCTTTGGAGTTCGAAGCAAAACTTTAAATAACAGGTTCTGAAAGCCAGGGTGCACCTCTCCTTGGCTGTGCTCACACAACGCATCACACGAGGCTGTTAACCAAGGATGAATCCTTCAGCCGTGGGACACGCGGAAAGAAAGGCTAGGGTGGCATTTCTGGGGTTAACTGCTTCCCACCCAAACTCGACCAGGCCAGGTTTCAGAGACGCAGTTGACTGATTGATCAAAAGTTTGGCCACTTTTGTGCAGGTTTTATCTTATTTGTTATGACTGGTGGTCAAAACAATGAATAAATTGATTGATTGATTGATTGATTGATTGATCATATTTATATAGCCGCCCATCGCACATAAAGGTGACACTTAATTAAAAACAATAAATCCATAAAAACAGT